TGATTTGTTTATTAGAGAAGGATATTTTGTTACTTAATGTGCAAAGAGTAGCAAATTGGTCAATGATATAAAATGTATGTATATAAGTACTTAGTTTGTTTATTCTAAGGAATAGACACACAATATTTCCTCTTCTATTGCTCATCTGAGCTGGTTAGCATACTGAACTATAAAACATACAAAGCAGGCTTGCATTTTACTACTAACTCAAAAGCTAGTTTTCTTGCCTATATGATGACTAATGGAGAATTTTAGCCTTCCTTATTTGTGAATAAACATAAAGACATATTTAAAGTGGTTTGTCGAACCATGAGTACCAAGAAGTTTTTAAACAAGAAAGAGTATATACAGTGACTGATACAACAGGAACCTCATTCTGAGATCATTATTAATCTTCAAGAACTTGTCAGCATCTATATGAACCTTAAGCTAAACTCACACCTGCCTAGTATGTTATTTATACTACACATGATTGACAGCTTCAAATATCTAGCTCTTAAGATGAAATCACTCTTTGTCATGTACTCTATTTAACTAAAGCATAGTATTATATTGTAATACTTTATACATATTTGTTAATTAAAAACCTATATTACATAGTAATATTGACTGATACTTTTGTTTATAGCTAGGTAACAAGTCACATGATAGTTTCATAATACAGTTACCAACCTATATTGTATCTTGTCTTATTCTACATAGCTGCCATAGCTACTTATAAGCTTTTATTTGCTTCCACATATGTTAGTATCTCATGATATCTCATTAATACCAACATAATGCCTACTGAATATCATCATCCTCACAATTATCACACTTATTTGAATATTTGAACTAGACTGGAATTGAGCAAGTATTATATTATAAGAATAAGATACTTATATGACTCTTATAATATAAGATAAAATCTGAGGCCATTTCCTGTTCTCTTGTATTCCTAACAATTATTATATGCACTGTAATCACTAATGATTCAAGGCTGTTAGGTCATTTTACTCTAATATCACTAACTAAAGCTGTTTGACTCAAATTCTAGAGTTTCTGCTCTAATGTCAAATGCTGAGGCTATCTGACACAAATTCCAGAAGTTCTACTCTTATACCACAAACTGAGACTGCCTTGCTCAAATTCTGAAGCTTTCTGCTTCAATGCTATCAACTGAAGTTATATGATTCAAATTCTCAAGCTTTTATATTAATGTCAAATGAGACTATCAGGTCCAAATTCTAATACCAAAGTTAGGGAAATTTTAAATGGGGACATATGAAAGAAGCAAAATCCAAAAATAATATAAATATCAAATAAGAGATATGACAGGGCAGCTAATGTACTCTTCAGATACTCTGGTTATCATTTATTCTTTGTAGAGTGTAAGAGAACTTACCTTGATTAATTCAATATTGAACTGTAGTAACACACACAACAATAGAAAAAACCCTAATACTAATAATCTGACTAACTTAGTATGTATCTAATATAAGATTATACCAAATGTCTTCAAAGAGGTAATCATCATTTTTGATATAACAGGTGACACTATCTAACATATCTAGATACTCTATAGTGATCATGGACACTATAGGTATAACTACCCACAGTAGCATCTGGCCCACTCTTAACCTCTGGGAAAAAATGAGAATCAAATAAGAGAATAGAGTACAAAGTTAAAGAGGTAGTTTACTGCTTGTATACAAGAGATTGCTAGGTATACCTCATTAGGATACTCTCCTAGTTGTAACAGCCATCATGAATAGCATACTATATACTGATATGATGGATAAGGAGCTACATAGCTACTAGCACTTTATTAAGTATCTTCTGCTATATTTTTAGTTAGATACATTATATCATACATACAGTAATTTTAAATAACATTACTTGGATACTATCAGAAAACACCCTTTGGCCTTCCCTCTGCACTCTGTCTAAGCATACTAAAGATTGTCCTATTACCAAGGGTCTTTTAGGTTCTGAATGTAGGATATGTAACTCATTGATAATTTGCTCATCAGGAGGATATCATTACTCTGACTATGATTAGTTGTTGATACAGATATCTAAAGATAGTACCAAAGTTTTGTGAACTGTCTCTGGAGTTATTAAAGTAGGCAGATACATTGTGGCCTCCATAAGCTTCAGTAGGAGCAATTAACCAGATTTTTTAGTACAAAACTCAGAACTCATTAGGGGAGAGCTCAAAAGTGCTTAATATCTAACTGGACCTGTATATCATCTAAAATCTTATAAAAACAGTTAATGTAAAAGGGAAAATTTTATAACAACACATTCATAAATTTAAACTCACCATGAGATTAGGCTCAGGCTTTGCTATTTGTTTGTCCTTGCTAATATTTAACAGCATCACTATAGACCAGTCATTCATGAGATATATTTTTCTGCCAATGCAATAAAAGTAATCAAGGAGGGGCTTAAACCAATGTCATATTTGTCATTAATATTTGATTAGTATTTCTATTGCTATATCTTAGCAATTCTGATAGTATTACTTACCTTCTTAATATCCAACTGAATCCTCATTAGATACTCCTAAATGTAGTTCAATAGCCAGCCTTCTAGGAGTAGCTCTGGTGCACAATCAGCTCCTTTCTCCAGAGTCAAGTATAGGGTTATACAAGCAATGATGCTATGAAGATGACTTAAGGATTTGTTATTTTATATATCTTCTTTCATTTTCTTCAATAGGGACCATAATTGTCACAAGACACATATCACATTTGCTCAATATATACTTAAGAACATGATATAGATAGGTAATATCTCCTTAATACAATCTTCCTTTCCTATAAATAATGTCTGCATGTTTATAAATTTTACCTATGACCTCTGTCTATGTTGAGAGTTTGTCTTTCTCATCTTGTATGCAAGATCATTATTGATTCACACAATTTGATAAGTTGTGCTTTTATGTTTTCATCAACTTTTTCAATATCTTTGAATAGGTTATTGACCATCTTATAGGATGAGAACAATTTATGGGAGTTGGAAATGAATAGGGTCTGAATAGATAAGTACATTTGGATATAGACATAATTAGAAGACTGAAAACAGGGGCTAACTAAAATGGAACATACAAAAGGAAAAAAAATGCAGAAGTCAGAAGTGGGTTGCCAGACATGTGGAGATGATTGTGTCATACTTTTTTATTTTGCATTTATTATGCAATATAAGACCATGAGATAGTTTAGGATAGAAAGAGGAGTACATAATCAATAAAGATTCAGAGTAATTGATAAGATGAGAGAATAACATAATAAATTGAAATTAACTATGCAAAAGTAATACATTCAGATTCAATATATAACCTATGCAGGCAATGTTACTAATAGATAATCTTGCACAGTTAAATTAATAACTCAATACAGGTGTCAAAGCTGTGAAGATTGAAATTGGAATGATTAATATTTTGACCATCAAGAATAAATTAATATTTGAGACATATGATAACAGGCCTCAAAATAAAGCTAAGACCAATAAAATAATGTTATCATCTGAGAATAATAGTATTCAGTCAATGAAAGAAATAAATGTCCTTACCATCATTATCAAGTCATTATATATAGCCCCTGGACAGATACTAATAGGCAAATAGACCAAGCCAAACATTAGAGAAGATGACATTCCTAGATACACAACCTTTTATATTAGCATCTGGTTAGTATTACATTGCTATTTTAAGAAAACTGGCTTAAGCACACCTATCTTGAGGAATAAGAAGAGATACAGAAATGACTAGCATAACTACAGAGTATGAAGAAGATAACAGATGAGAAAGCTATTGAGCATGAAGACTTACAAAAGCAACTTAGGATAGTAAAAAGACACATAGACAGTCTAGCCTATGGAGAGTCATACTTTATATGACAAAGGTGAGTAAAACATTATCTTATATCATAATTATTATACATCAAGACTTGTATCTTGAATTGATATATCAAAGGAGTGTCCTATTTATACATACAGAGTTAATACTTGATTTAAATATTATTATATATTAATATGGCCCATCCAGACTCTGTTTAGATGAGATGGGATGAGATGTATGTCTTACATTTTCTGTTAAAAATACATATCCAGTGTCATGTCTGTATGCATTATATGAAATTAGCGATAAAACACCTACCAAATTTGACCAACACAGGCAAAGGCAAACTTGCAATATACCTAAGTTAAAATCAAACACTACATATTTATAGCAAGATATAGGAAGAGCAGCTTATTTCAATCTTACTGAATATGCAAGATGTATAAACCAAGAGTGACTAAAAAGCAGCTATCAAAGTACTCAAACTAAATATGAGAAATCTAGTCACCAAAAAAACTTGAACCTAACTTCTCTAGTAGATCATCTATGCAAATAATATTAGTAAAATACTGACATTCTTTACTGTGGACTAGATTATCTAATACCCTCATTTATTTTTTGAGGATATCATTGAACAACTTATAGTGAGATTAGATGTGACTCACTCAAGGTTAGAGTTTATAGTAGATCATAATCAGTTTGAGTAAGAAAAACTGTTAAAGTTTAGTAGTTAAAGATATAATTTATATTTGACTTGAGTATGCTCATAAATTCTGTTTAATTCAAAGAAAAAATCAAACTACACATTTCAAAGGGCATTACTGTCAGAAAAGCATATCAGAATCTTTTCTTTCTCTGAGTGATAGGAGTAGTACAGTGTGTCAAAAGATGGGCCACAAATTGAGATATATCATCAGCATAATTAGAGATTTAGAGCTAGTTCGGTAACCCAAGGTAAAGTAAATTTGCCAACTTCAAGGATGATATAAGGTCGGTACAGTAGCCTCTGGTTTGGAGACCGACATTGGAGCTTGAACTCCCTTTGATCTCATGTCTAGCTATATAGCTCAGTATACAACTCAAGATCTATGTGATCAGGAACAACATCTGGGCTAGTGTTATCAGCTCAAGTCCACATCCTTTCCATGGCTCAGGAGTCATCTCATACTACTACAGAGAGAGGGCTGTTTGGACCGACACAGAGATTGATCAGTTTCTCCTCTACCTATCCAACAATCAGGACAAGATCAGCAACACTGGTAACTTTAAAGATCCGATATACAATGGTGCTGCAGAGGCTATTTATGAGTACCTGCAGCAAGGTCCAGCGAAGACTGGGACAATGTATAAGACTGAAATGGGCATCAGTAAGTCATACCAATATATTATTTATCTATAGACTTGATGGAGATCATATAGTAAAACAGACTTTTAACGCTATTCAGAAGTATTGCCAGCAGTCTGGTGTCCACTGGGACAAAATTGGAGGAGTCAATGTCGAGGGTGATGCTTCAACCTCAGTATGGAATGAATATGTTTCCAAGAAGGTATGTCAAGTTCGCTAATACTATTTCATGTGTCTCACTGTTTGATAATAGGGAAATTCAGTCATGCGCCCTTTTTGTGCATCAGGATGAAGACACTATGAGCAAATGGACAGCATAATACCATGAGGCAGTGGTGCCTGAGGGCGTACAGGGTACCAACCCAATATAGCTCTCCCCCCTCCCTTAAGCTCAAGCTCCAGTCCTAGCATACCAGCAGGTGAACACAATACTATTGATCCTGTTCTTGCCACGTCTAGTGCTGGTGTTGCTGGTCCTAGCACCACCCCTACAGCAGCTGCCCTCACTTCTATGCCTGCTTCTCCTTCCTTCATGTCTTTTCCTGCTTCTCCATCCTTCATGCATCCTCCTGGCAAACATTCTCACACTGACATGCTTCATGAGCCGACTGCTCATTGGTGTCTACCTTAGTTTCGCAAATGCAAATGCCTGCCTCCCTCCGAGTTGAACTCTATCAAAAGAGCAAAAACAGCATCAGGCCACACATCAGGAGGCCACACATAGACTCAGGGTGGTTCCACAAAAAATACTAACACGTTGGACACCAAGATATCAAAGGCCACCACGGCTGTAGCCGTGATAGAATTCCAGAGCTCTGTTAATCAGCTTAATAGATGTAATTGCTGAGCGCATGGTCTATCCTGAGGATTGGGTAATGGACCAGCGCTCAAGGGCCATGCAGATGTTGCAGGTTGAGGATGCAGAGTTGCCATTCACAGAGCAGCTTATAATACAACAGGTTTTTTCTATGGACCCTGCAGCTACTGACATATACACACAAACCACCGACAAGGAGATGCTATTATTCATTCCACAGCCCAGCGGTTGGGACTTCAACTTCCTATGCTTGATAGTTAGTATACTCATATAATCAGTAGTATGAAAATGCACTATTGATACAACATATGATGATAATGCAGTAGTTGAAGCATGGTCTCAGAACGAACACAAACATCTTGTGCTTTGATGGTGGTGGATACATCAGAATCGTGCTACAGTGCTACATATCATTGTCACTATCTTCAAAGGAGTCATCTAGCAGGCCTCGCTGCTGCAAAACAGTTTGGTAATCTTCCCACATGCAGCGTGCAATACAATTGCGTGCTTCCTTCATACCTCCACCTCTGTCAAACACCTCCTCATCATCGGGGATCCCTTGGTGCTCTGGGTTGTCGTAATCAAAGTGTTTATTCATCATCATCATCATCATCATCATCATCTGGGAGCACTTTGTTGTCAGGGTTGTGAGTGGATATGAAATTGTGAATCGTACATAGCACAGCAGGTATATGTGCCTGGATGGTCATAGGATATTCAGGTGATAGCAAAAGAATGCGGAAACGGTGTTTTAACACACCAAAGATGCACTCAATCACATTTTGAGCAGATGAATGTCACAGATTGAAGAGTTCTTCTTTAGTCGTTGGTCTGCAAAAATAGAATAGTTATAAGAAAGCATAGAGTATGGAATAAATAAAACATACCTGACATTAGCGCGTCCCCATTCAGCCAAATGATAATGGACACTGCGGTAGGGGACTAAAAGCCCATCACACAAAGGGAACCTCGCATCCGCTAAGAGATATTTGCCAGGAGGGACATACAAGCTACCTGAACAAGCCTCGTCGTAGAGGCATGCATCTGTAACAGATCCCTCTCAGCCAGTGAGAGCATATGAGAACTTGAGGTCAAAGGTGCAGGTGAATAGATAGTTCTGAGACACAAAACCCTTGCAATTATGATATGAGGGGCGGTCAGATGATGAGGGGTGAGCGTGGATGTGGCTGCTGTTGATTGCACCGATAGTGTCCTTAAAGTAAGGCCAGAATTTGAGGTTGCTACAGATGTTGCTAGAGACGTTGTCAGTGTCATTGGGAGAACATACATGAGTAGTGTAGAACAGGGGGATGCAAAAATAAACAACATCTTATGGAAATACCTACAATTAGGTGTGAGCTCATCATAAATAACAATAAAATCAGCTTACTTTGAGATGGTATCGTTTGACCATTGAAAACGCTCCCTGACATGATGGATTGTTAGCCCTATAACACACGTATATAAAAACATGGCAAGTTGCTCTTTGAGTGAAACATGATGTGAACTAGCATAACCCAAAACATGAAGTTCAGCTATGAGCGTATAGAAGATATGCATGCCAAGCTCGCATCACATACGATCTGGGTGACCAATGATGAGTTCCATGACCCATTGTTCACCTGAGAGGGCCGATGTATGGTATGCCTCAGGCACAGAGTCCTGAAGCAATGAGTGTGTAGCAGTCAGAAGGACACTGACGAGTAGTGCAATGTGACATAGGATTCACATATGATTCTGCCGACGGCCTGCAGCTGGCGGCTGAACAGCCTGAGCTTGAGTAAGTTGTCGGAGCAAGGGGTCAATGATATCCATAAAGCAATGAGTGTGATGGATAACAAGTCCTACTGATATTGATATCACAAGGTTGAAACTCAGCTATCAGCACCTACTGTGCCATGAAAACACTATAAATATCCTTTTCTAGTCTCAAAATATAATAAGCTATATATTGAAATTGATATTACTAGTACCTTGTTTAAGGATCTTATATGATTTATATAAAATAGTATATTGATATACATTGCAAAATTAGTCTTGAAGATTTAGCTAAAGAACACTTATTACAATAGTTAGATCTCCTAATACTGGCTTGTATAGTAAATTTTAAGAGAAAAATCATTGAGGGTGTCTCATACTCTGACTAGTTCTTTCTAACCTTTTATAGTAATTACATAGAAAAATTAAGCAGCAAGAAAAGATAGCCAAAAAGCACCTAATAGATCATAAAGTAGTAGTTAGAAGGTAGAAAATCTTATAAAGTATTGGGCATTTGAGCCTTGGGGTGAAGAAGTATATTAGTGATAGTTGTAGTTCTAACTTCTTGACACCACCTCAAATGTTAAGTTCTTACAATATTTTCTTTCAAAATTTTTCCAAACAGCAATATTATACATTTATTACCTAGTTTATCATTCAAAAAATTTATTCAGCCTATATTGTATAACTAAATAGGCCAGTGACAGCCTTAAATTAAAGTTTACAGTATTATTTCAAATAAAGATAATAGTTTGCTAAGAGTCTATATTCTCAACAGCTAGATTAAAAAATATAAAAATATACAATGGCTCCAATGGATATACAGAGTGCTATTTACTCAAATTCAGTAATTATTGAAAAAATCATCATGCTTGTTTAGATGTATATTAAAAGAATAAGGGCTCATTCAGCAACCAGTTAGTTGTATCCATTTTCATTCAAAATGGAACAATATGTTTATTTGATTAAGGGCCTGTCACACTGCTACATAATATGATGTTATACTAGTACTTGTTTACTACTACTACTACCAATCATGTGACCTAAGCAAATATAACACTTTCTTTCATCTGACACCAGGGAGCCTAAGAACACCAACCTACTGCAACCTCAAGAGTAGGCTGATAACACAAAGATCCCATGGAATGTGAAGTGGAGTTCTGGGGATAATACAACACTCATTGACTCTCTCAAGACTTTTGCTGATGGAAACATGGCTAATAATGGAACCTTCAAGACTGTTGCAAAGGCCATCAAAGATAGTCACAAAGCCAGTAGAGGTGCTTTAAAAACTGTGAAAAGTTGCTCATGTCATTGAAGCACTGTAAGTAGTATTTTTTCTTCATTTTCATGTTGAAATACTATATGTAGTTGAAGGCCAACTGGCTTATTGTCCCAAAACTGCGAGAACTGTCTGAATTTGGATGGAACAAGATGAGGAGGATTGTTATTGCTAGTAACAAAGTGTAGGATGATTATCTTCAGATGAGCTTTTACTTGTTGCTTATTTCTTGACTAAATTACTATTTAGGTCCATTCTGAAGCCAAGCAGTCAGGGCATTATTAGGAACAAAAGTATCAATGTGTGTCCACTCCAACAGTATTGGAAAAATGAGTAAAGCTTAGGATTACTGTGAACTTCAGGGGAGACTATGTCATTGAATGGCAGGTGGATGTAGTGTTAATAAAATTATGGTGATACTATCATGTCTAGATGACAAAGAAAAATCCTAATAGTACAGTTACAGTAATAAATCAATTTTGTTATATTTTAAATAATAATGTGGGCACTTACTTTGAAATAGTATCTGCACTGTACTGAAAAAAGAGTCTCTTGTCTTCTTTTATGCTTCTTCATAAACAAAGAATGACTGGTGAGGTCAGACTTACTAAGCATAGAGTTTTGAGTAGGAGGTGATTATATAAATTGCTAGAATATTAGGTAAAGGAAATAAGAAATTGATATGATTATAACATCAGAAAAAGTACATAATCAGTCTATTATATTCTAGAGGACTCTCCAAGGTAAAATGATAGATTAGGAAGAATAGAAGTTTGAAAAAAAGTCAGAACTAGGTCAGATAATAAGTAAGCTTACTATCCCATATTCTACAATATCAGTTTTGTAAGAAGTAAATTAACACTACCATAAAAAAAGATTAAATATCTGAATGTAGTCTTTATAATTTAAAATTTAAGATTTATATCTATCACATCTTTTGATGCTATAAATACAATGTGGAGAAGAGTGATATTAATAAGAATATAGTAAGCAGCTTTTATCTCAGCAGAAGTTATAGTGAGAGTGTCCTTCAGACTAACTAAGCTCACTTTTACTATAGAAGAGATATGATGCTTAATCAATTTTAATAGTTCTTTGAAAGTCTAAAATAAAGTCTCACTTGGAAATATTTATATTGGTTTTCAAACTTACAATTCTAGCTTTATTTGTTGTCAAGAATTAAAAGCTTAGTGTAAACATAAGAAAGAAAGAGATATATATATTTAATTTTTTAATGCTAATATGTGATTTTAATATTCCAAAATACATACACCATGTTTGAAAACTATCTTGCTAGTTTTCAGTATTGTTGCTTTATCCCTTATCCCCTCCTCAGATGCTATTGGCCCAGTATTCCATTAAG